CCAAAAATATTCAGTTTCGGTGGCATCACATCACCTAAAAATGCCAAACAATATCAAAATATACTTTCGATACATAACGTTCCATCGAGATTTTATATCAGTTGTGTTTCCCGTGACTTACTGATTTGCATATTTAAAATAGTTTTAAAATAACGTACTCCTTTTGTAAAGTTATTCTATCATTTAAACATTTGAGAACTACAAAAAATCGTAGAATACGCAATTAAAGAAGAAAACAAATTACTGGATTTGATGCATTAAAAATCTTATTGATGATGATGGTTACGAACCTCCGCTATGTCTCATAACTATCTAAAACTTTTATAGAGTCAAAAATAATTAAAATAATTATTTAAGAAAGGACTTGTATCGCTGAAGTTTCTCGGAAAGAATTTCTACGGAAAATTAACAAACGAACGACCAGAGACGTAACAATACTTATGAATTCACCGTCACATGTCTTACACGAGCGCCATCTGCCCTTGTGTTTAAATATTGAAATTGCATCTCTACTTATATATGTTGTACTTACAGATTTGCCAACCAATCTCGCTTAGCAATTACCATATAAATTATATTTATAATTTAAGAAGAAATTAATCAAATAATCTATTAAAAAATGAAAGCTACTAATTGTAGAAATTTTCTTCTTGCTTGTGTTCTCTGTTTATTTTACTCAACCATCGCTTTTCAAAATTATAATAAGTTGGCGCTTAGGATTGATTGCTCAGGTTGCTTAATGCCAAAAGCAACAACGTGGTAATTTTATCCTTATTAAGGGGAAAACTAAACATCATGAAAATATAAGAAATAATCACGCATTTCTTAAGAAAAGCTTTCTATTCTTGTTAAGACTTGAGATAAGGAGCTCGATACTTAATAGTTAGGTAAGCGTGGTTTGACTTTCTTAAGTATTTTTCCACATAAGTAATATTGTTTTCATTGTATTTGGTTCGGTGAATAACATATGGGTTAATTCATTATCAGGTTAGGCAACCCTAGTCTTTGGAACTCCACCTTAACTACCTTAAGGGTTCTCACGTGCTAAGCAGAAGGCTTGGGATGTCAAATATCCCCCTTCTCCTTCTCATAAAGAAGATGGTAATTGTAATATAATATATCGTTTGAGTTCGAAGAGTTTCTAGTTAACTTTGTGAAACATACCGAGAAGTATAATTATAAGGTATAAATATCTAAGAAATCAAACACTACATTGACTAAACCGTCTGAAATTAGGAAAAACTGAAACAACTAATATTCCTACAAACGTATGTATCTGAGGAAAATGTGACAGGTGACGTACTTTTGATTTTTTTCTCCCCTCAGAGTTGGTCTATTAATGAAACGATAATTGGGTATTCTCTAGTAAGCTCGAAACACCGCTGAAGGATAAATTATATCGCGTGGTATTCATCTCTTTATGAAGTCTCCAAATGTGTAGCTTTCAGTAAGCTAGTTTTTGTTTTCACAATACTAAAGCAAAATATTAGTAAACGAACACTATTTTATTTGACAGCTAGCGCAAATAGCTCTCAAGTAGCATCGTGTGAAATTCAAACATCAATCTCACTATACACCAAAGTAGCTAATATACTGATGTATTTAATTTTTTTTACCAATCCATCATAGGCACAGCGCAGAAGACGCTAAAAACTTGACAAGTATAAATAAATTAGGAAATTTAAAAGATAATTTTTTATTGTCACGGGAGATCTGAAAAATCTGTTTCAGAAAGATGCATGGTGTTTTGACAGACTCATTAGTATTTACATAAAATGCGCGTGGGTTTGTCCTTCAAAATCTAAATGTTTTCAAAATTAATTATTATGTGTGCTGCGAACCATATATTTTGAATATTTCTCAAGAAAACATTAGAAACATGAAACCTAATTCTAATAGTTTTAAAAAATTCTGAATTATCCGAATAAATTTATTACCGAATTTTTATCGTTCTTCGTTTAGTCAATTTTGGGATTTAAATAACGTTTGGTGTAATTTGTAAATACAGAAAGATAATATCAACCTCAAGATGAACTACTGTATTTTGTGTACAGTAGAGTATACGGAGCATATCAACACAGAGTAATTTTAAATATAGAGTAAATAAAAAAGAAAATCCCGTAAAATATATAATTAAATTATAGTAAAAATACGTAAAATATGTGATTAAATTATAGCACAAACACGTAAAATATATGATTAAATTATAGCACAAACACGTAAAAAATATGTTTAAATTATAGTACAAACACGTCAAATATATGATTAAATTATAGTACAAACACGTAAAATGTATGATTAAATTATAGTACAAACATGTAAAATATATGATTAAAAGAAAACAGAAAACACTAAATACAGAAAAGTAGCGTTATTTGAGATTTTCGTTTAGGCTGAATCCAATTTTACAAAGTAGTAACTCTAACATTTTTACAGCGGGAGGTCTCTTAGTGTTTGAGTGCTTTATCTTATAAAATATAGTTTTTCTGGTGCTGCTTGTAACTCGTAGTATCATAGTTTCGTTTAAATTGGCGGAACTCTTCCAGCTATCCAGTAGCCAAGGATACAAGAATCTGAATTGTTTTTTTGGCTACCTGCCAAAACAACAAGAGCGACAAGGTTGGGAATTCCTTGGAACCGAGAAATATACTCAAGTCAGCCTCCGTTTGTAAGACATTTTCAGAACATTTCACTCCGAGCTATCAATAAAGAAAACATGTAATGTATATGGGGAAAAAAAATCTGCAACAATGCGAACGAGAAGTCAAACGAGTTCGTAAAAGCATCAAAAGTACACTCCTAGAAAGAAATGAGATACACCTTCCTTATCTCAACAACTGGTTAAATTCTGAAATATAGATAACTTTTTGTACTAATGAATAAACAGCGGGTTGGAATCCACTGCGCAGGCACTGTGTATTATAGATATTGGTCGAAAATCCATTTTGATTTCGTTTGGTTTGATTTGAATTTGGCGCAAATCGTCCCTAAATTGCAGTGAAAGACAAAGAGGAAAGTAGCTAGTCATCACACACACACCCGCCAACCCTTGGGCTCCTCTTTCACCACCGAATAGTGGATTGACCGTCACATTATACCCCCCCCCCCCCCCACCGGCTGAAAGGGCGAGTATGTTTGGTGGATCGAGGATTCGAACCCGCGAACCGTAGATTGCAAGTGAAACACTTGTAAATGCTTAAAAATAATGAAACGTAAACGTACACTGCTTCCTGTCCCATTGTACACCAAACATAGGCCTATTTTACAATAATTCAGACTATTTTACTTACAATTGATTGTTACATATCTGTTTGGAGTTTATTGAACTTGATTTTTAATTTCCAGGAATATGTGCAATCGAATAAAATAAAAGCATTTACTTGAAAAGATGTAAAATTCGCACATCTCATCTTGACATCAAGTGATGTTTATTGAAATTGAAATATTTTTATATAAAAAATATTCATTTCTTCTCAGTTAAGTTCTCGGAAAATGTAGCAAATAATCTTTGGAAAATCTGTCACCAAATATGATTAATTGAAGGTAGGCGTGACTTCAACTAAACCTCAACAAATTTAGACTAGTTCGAGTGACTATACATCATCGTATGTTCTAAGTAATTCGGCAAGATGCTTGTGAGTCATTTTATTTCATTAGTTGTTTGGAAGTCTGTCAAGCGTGCTTTGCCGAAACGAGTTGTTACAGTCATGGAAACTGAATAAAAATAAAGTGTTATATGTTTTAGTAAAAAAACACATTCTTAAATTTGTATGTTTTTCTTCAAAGTAATATTACCATTATTGGATGGAAACAATGTTAATTATACTAGAGTTAATTGAAAGATGCAGGGAAATTGGAGCTATTTCCGAGAACGCGTGAAGGTTTTTGTTGTCTGTTTGTCGATTTTCAAGTAGAGGTCTGAATCATTAAATAAACAACAAAAGAGAGTGAAACAGAACCTTTCAAAGTCACGGATACGACAACCTATCACAGAATTACTAAACTGTAGAAAATGTTTTCGAAATGTTGGAAAATGAAAATTAATATTTTCCTAAGTTTTTAAAAGCATAATAATGAAGTGAAATGTTATCTGTTACTGTTTCTATTGAGTATCTATATTAAATATTTTATCCAAAATTTAAAACACATTGTTCGGTAACTTATGTCCATTTACATAGTTTAAAACAGCATTCATACAAATATTTCGATTTGAAGAATACAGGTGACTGAGTAAGTTACATGAAAACGATTTTGAATATGTAGTTCAGCAAGTGACGTGAAATTCACAGCTGATATAAAATTGCAGTGGAACGGAATATACCAGAACTATATTTTAACATTGTTGGGGATTTTGTAAGTGATATAAAACCACCTAATACTGATCGCTTTTGGGAAGGTTATGTAACAGACCTATTCGACGCAAAATATTTAGACACTCAAATCATAAAGACGTGTTCAGATAAGGATTTTAGAATTTATAAGACGTGGATATATCTTGTACTTAATAAAATTGGAAAACAAAGAAATAGGGATCAACTTAGGGTACCAGGACCATTATGAAAGAGGTATGCAACAAGTTGTACCCTAACCGTGGAAGCAAAGCGTGGTGTCTTCTAACAGGTGATAATCCGCAAACACAAAGGTCAGTGGCATAAACCGTCTTAATGCCCTAAGCAATAGTAGGAAACATAATTAAGAAGGATCTCGATCTGGAAATGTTTTCATTTATATATTTATTTGTATTACATCTGTTTTATAAAGGCGGACAATGTTACTTAGGGTAGTATTTGTATAGGCAGAGGATGATGACGTCATTTTCTCAACATCTGTATTTAATTACATGTAAATCTATTGTTGGTTTAATATAATAAACAGTTCTAGATACAATATTTGTTTTTAACACTTTATTATTTTCACAATAAAGATTTTGTAACCTGATCTACATAAAAAGATATATCTTTTAAGAGTGTATTTACATGAAAACATTTTGCACCAAAATCATGAACACACACATTATTGCTATCTTTGTGGGATCCAAATTTATATAACAGTTTTCGTTTCGACACATGTCACCAACGATAATAAGTATAGTATATACAATAGTAGCCACACATAGACAAATACGGTCCTTATAGTATTTTGTTATCGTAAGTCCTCATTTGACAGTTCTTCTTGATGAATTTTCTTATGTTGAGGTTATGCGAAGGTAGTCCTAATGGATCAAAATATCCTCTTATCTCATCTCGACTAATGTAATTACAGATCCAGTGGTTATCGGGTTTATGACTCGAATCCAGATTGACGATGTACAATTGTTTTTCTGCACAATCGGGTAGTTGATCACTGGCAAACACACCTCCAAATTTATTTTGTGTACACAAATCTTATGAAAGTATCGAATGAATTTCTAAAGTGCTCATAGCTTCTAAGTTTCAGTTATGATGTTCCTAGACTGATCAATTTCTAAAATTGATTGGAATTCTGCATAGGCAAGAACATTAATAATGTTGGGTAAGTCACTATCAAAGTGTATTGTTACGACAGCGGAAGTCGCGTGACGCTGGGAGCATGCGCGCTGGAGTTTCTAGAATTATCTGGGAACCCCGCAAATGTCCGAGTGTTTGCCAGATGCACTCTTTTTATTATATAAGCCCGGTAAGTAAAACCAGTGATAGATATGCAGAAAGATCAAAGAGATAGATAACTGAGTCAATTGAACAGTAGGCACCGTAAGTAAAGTGTGTGAAT